AGCAGAGCTCACCTCTGCAAGTCAGCTATAGTGCCCCGTGATCTGATGACCTCTGAGCACATAAAGCCTATGGAGAACAGTGTAAGTCTAAACCATATCATTTATTACGAAGACTTCATTGCTACTTAAATGATTGCTCTTTTTTATTTTAAGGAAAAAGTCTTGCTTTGAAATAAATCACCAACAGAGTGAAAAGAAAGCCCACAGAATGGGACAAAATTTTAGCCAAATGTCCCTCAGACAAAGGATTTATATGCAGAGCATATAAAGAATTGAAAAAATCAGTCCCCCCAAATTTAAAGACCCAATCCAAAAATGGGCATCTGAGATGAATACAGAGTTCTCAGATGAAGAAATACAAATGGCAAGTAAATATATGAAAAAATGTTCAACATTATTGGTCATTTGAGAATTGCAAACTAAAACAACACTGAGATATCATCTCCAGGAAAAATGACTAACATCAGGAAATTAATGAATGCTGGCAGAGCTGTGGGGAAAAAGGAACTCTTCTCCATTGTTGATGGGAGTGGAAACTTGTATAACCATTGTGGAAATCAGTGTGGGTATTCCTCAGAAAATTAGGATTAGAGGTTCCATTTGACCTAGCTATTACCCTTCTGGGTATTTTCTCAGAAGAAGTGAAAACATTATAACACAGCAATATATGTGCACCCATCTTTATGGCTGCACGATTTGTAATATCCATATCTTGGAAACAACCCAGATACCCATGGACCACACAATGAATTAAAATGATATTTTTATACAGTGGAGTATTATTCAGCTATAAAGAAGGATAAACGAGTCTTTTAGAGGTAAATGAATATAACTAGAGACCATACTCCTAAGTGAAGTAAATTGGACTAATGTGTAGATATCATATTGTCGGGCCAGGGATTTAGTTCAGTGGCTCAAGCACTTGCCTGGTAAGTGCAAGGTCACTGAGTTGAATTCGTGGTATATATATATGATTTTATATATATATATATAAATATATATATGATCATATATATTTATATATATATGATTTTTTCTCCCTAGTGTTAAAAACATGATGAAAGAGTAAATAGGATCCAAAATATATAATAGATATTGTGAAAATGGAAAGAAAGTGCTTAAAAGGAAAAATCAACTAGGATAAGGAAAGGAGCAAAGAAAGAAGAGAAAAGATTTTATACATATAAAATCTTTTCTATAAAATCTTATCTATAAAATCTTTTATGTAAAAATTATATATATAATTATATATATAATTATATTATATATATAATTTTTACATAATATATATATGTATTTTTACATATTTTTTACATTATATATATGTAAATATATACAAGATAGTTAACTATGCTACTAACTTCTAAAAGATAACTATACTACTAAAAGAGCATTCGTGTTTTCATTGTCTGATTGTTTGATCATTTTATGCCTAAATCTTATAATCTGGACAACTACTTTCGAGATAACAATATGCAATAAGTTGACTAGTGTTAATATCCTATTTTTTTAAAATTCTGTATCATTTTTATCCTTTGTTTGTTTGTTTATTTGTTTTGTTTTAAATAAAAAGCTAGAGTCTTACTAAATTAGCTGTGTTGCCCAGGCTGGACTCAAGGTTATCGTCCTTCCATTTCACCTCCCAGAGTGCTGGACTATAGGAGTACACCACCATAACCAACCAATATTCTTCTTATACAGAACAAAGTCCCAATATTTTCATCTATGATTGGACTGTAAATACAGGAATTTCTATTTTTGTTTTGTAAGCAAGACCTATACCAATTATGGTATAACAAATAATGACTCTAAATGAAAGTAAAATCTAGTTCTTTAGAATATTTTAGTATCCTTTTTATTTTATACACTTTTTAGAAACTTCAGCTATTACAAGAATAATTTAGCATAAGATCCATAGAGAAAGAGTCTGCCTAACAGTGATGCAATTAAAAATTGTAATTTAAAAAGGATAGCACAGGGGTCAAATTTAAGTAAATATACCTATATTTTCTTACATCCTACTACTAAGTTCACCTGGTATACAATGTGAATTTTCTGAAGAGTCATCTGTTTTTCTGTGAAGGGCTATGGATTCTGATTTGTTGGCTGTTCTAAACATAACTTCAGGGTTATGTACATAGGTAAATACAGCGGACTTACAGAAAAGAAAGTAAGCATAATTACTGTGGATTCATGATTGCCAGATAGTGAAAATCTTTGATGTAATGAGATAAGTGCAAATGTATCTATAACTGTCTCAGGTAAAGTAAGTTAAAAAGCAATTTATTTTCCATTTTATTCACAGAAACATAATAAGTACTACTTAGTTTATTTTCTTTAATCAAGAAATTAAAGTACTACTGTCACATTTAAGGCAACTCACTTGCTTTGATTTTCACTCATCTTCTGTATTTTCTATTCATGTACTTTGGTTTAGAAAAAAGTTCTTTGTCATGTTGAGAACTGAAAAATCAAAATACTTTGCTTTAATGTCTTATTTTTATATGGCAATTGAACTATTTTATTCCTTTTTAGCTATCTCTTTATGACTTAGCAATTATTAAATAAAAGAACATTATTTGAGCAACCAAGTAATTAGCAGGCATTTCAACTTAGTTTTTGAAAGGGAAAATTAAAAAAAAATAGTGTCCATACTATATTTTCCATCATGGAACAGGGTACAAAATAGTAACTATGAGGCACAGATTGCAGTACTATCTTATCCCTACCTGGCTAACTGGGTTGCAGGTATCCCAATCAGAATTTTATTAATTATTCAGGCTTAAATGAGTCAAATATGGTCAGAGTATTCTCTTGGATTAAAGTAATGCTACATTGTTTGCTTTTGACAAGGTAAAGTCCTTACAACTCACTTCCATGAGATCATTAACACTTTTTAAAAATCTTTTTTCACTGCATTATACTATTGATATTGGCTAGGATATTGTGTTGTCTTATTGATTCTGGCATGAAGACATCAAAGTAAGCATATATTTGTTCCTGATAAAAGAAAGAATATTGTTTTTTGAAATGTGTATCTGTGTTTTTAAATACATTTTAGTTGGTTGTGAGCAAACCATTTTTTAAATTTTGCACTAATATTTTCATCACTTCTCACTGGCATTAATATTCTCTCTGCAAAAAATTAGTATGTCAAAACATTAAATATTTCTAATAGTCAAGTGCTATATATATATTTGGGCTGGTGAAATGTAGTGTATTTTGTGATCAAAATTGGGGTATTAATTGATACATAGATGTATGTGGGTATGTATCTTGAAGATTTCTAACCTATAGGAGTTTAATTCTTTATACAATCATTTATTATACATAGAGAAGCCCATTAGATTCTGTTTTAGAGCCACAATATAACCTTTAGAAAAATTCTCATATTAACATTTAATGGAGAAAGCAATATTGAATAATTAAAATATTTTTAAGATCCTATAGTATACAACTTCACTTTGATTGAAATTTTTAATGTTCAGTATAATGTGTTAAACTAAGTAGAAATAGCTAAATTATGAAGTGCTCCTGTTGAGATTAGTTTTCTTTACCGCTCATTCTCAGCTTCATTTCATGTAATGGTTCTTAAAGTGTGCTTCTCTATCAACAGCATCAACATCATCTGAAAAGTTATTACAAATGCAAATATTCATGCCCTATGTTTGACCTTTTAAATTAGAAACTCTAGAGGTAGACTTAAGAAATCTGTGTTTACAAATCTTCTGTGTAACTGCGATGCATGCTAAAATTTAAGAATGATTGTTTTAGAGCAACCATTTTATGCTCTCTCCTGAGATTGTGCTCATGCAGGTGCATGCATGCACACCTGCGTGTGCGTGTGCGTGCGTGTGTGTGTGTGTGTGTGTGTGTGTGTGTGTGTGTGTGTGATTTGTATGACTACTGGCCAGGAGCATGAGATTACTTGTATATAATACCTGTCAAGGCACTTAATTGTTGCTTTTCTTTCCTCTTCTTATTGGTTTGTTTAGCAATAAAATGAAAATTCCAACCTTTACTAAAAGATTCACTGAATATTAACTCAACTGTATTGTTACTTTGGCAGTGATATTTCCAAATTAAGTCTCAATTCTTTCATCATTTTCTTCAAATATATATCAGACATATCTAGCTATCTATTTGAAAACAATGACTAAGATCCTATTTTCTTCCCATGCTAAGGAAGACCATAGGACTGTTTTAGAGAAAAATTATATTTCATTAATATCCACTCATCCTATGTGAATTCTTAACAATTTGTGTTCCTTACTTTCATTTCTGGATAAATTTAGCCAGTTAAATAATAGAAACCAATGTGTTTTGATTATAGCATTTAGTACTTTAAAATTTTTATTATTACATGTTTGGAGCACGTAATGATTACATTTGTTATGGTAAGGTTATACATGTTTTTCCTATAGCCTGATGTATTATAGGCATAGTAATGTTAGCATAAATGGGGAAAATATTAGCATAGAGGTTATATAAATTGGGAGACATCAAAGATCAGAACAATACTTAAATGCTCTACCACCATGGAATACTGATGATCTTGATATTTTTAAGAACAATGATTAGCAATTTGAGGTTTTGTACTAATTTTTAGGCTTATACTGAAAATTACTGAAGGATTTTTACCTTGAATTTGGACATTTAGCCTACAAAAATATGCTTTATATTTATGCGTAAGAAACACTTTAGGGAGGCATGGTACGGGGAATCAAATTCAGGACTTTATTCTTGTCAGGCAGGCACTGTGCCCTTGAGCTATATTCCCAGTCCGAAAAAGCACTTTCAATAACTGAGAGATGTATTGTAACCAACAAAGTAGTATAAAAAATGGGGATTGTTTTGTTGGACTTGTCCTACCTTTATTCCAGAGTCATCCAAATTTTATATGTATCTGTGCTTTTTAGTTTAGCAAATTCAAATTGTTGTTCAGAAAATATAAATTATTTCTCAATATTTTAAAATGTGATTTCTTGTCTTTGATACAGGAAGAATTGACTTTCTATATGAGGTTTGACATTTAAATGCTACATTACAATCCATACATGTAAGTTTTACTACTTTAATGTCATATTTGAATTTTGTCCTAACATTATACTGGTAGTGCACATTAAATGAAAATGTAGCTTTTCAAATGAAGCATGACTTTTCCATCATTTATTGATTATACATGTGAATAGAAATGTGCTTTGGTGAGGATATGTATAGAATCCAGATAAATGCAAATCACCTGTGTTCAATCGTAATATGTATTTTTATATGTTCTGTGCAATATATTTCTACATATAAATTTATGTATGTAAGTGTATCATGGATTTGTTATCATAATCATGATTTTCCCTAGGGATATTCTTAAAGTTTTAGTTTGCTTTTCCTACACATATAGTGGTAGAGGTTATCAGTGAGATGGTAGCACACAATTCCTTCTTCAGTAACAATTTGTTAACTTCATAGAAAAAACTTTATTTAATAAACAAGCTCATATTGTTATGACAAGAGAAAGGTAAAGTTTAAAAGCCCAGTAGGTTTTTAAAATACTGGTATTACAAGCGAATGTATGTTAACCAACAACACCATTTCCCCACATCTTAGGAAGTTGGCTTCATTGCTACATTTTTGCAATTATTACTGTATTATTCTATAGATATATTTTTAAAACGTTTTATGTTTATAAAAACTAAAAGCTAGAAAATGTAGCATTATTAACATGGGTAATCAAGTGTCAACTGTAGAGCTTTATGCTTATAGATTTTCTTCACCACTTAGTGTAATGAATTTGCATTTTCTACTTCTTTCCTATCTTTGCAAGACCTTATAGTTTTGTCTGGAAACGAATTTCTTTCTTCTCCTTTCCTTCTTTGCCATCTGTAAGTAGGTCCAAGATACTAAATGGAACTTCCTATATTTTTATTTAAAGGTCATCTTTTTTACCAAGCTTTTTACATTCTAAAATTTAGTCAAGTACAGTGTTTGGATATTTTTATTCACATGTAGAAGTGCTGTCAACTTTTATATGGAAAATAAGCTCTTAAATTGAGTAATCTTAATGTTACAATATTAATATTCTTTTATTTTCACATCATAAATGATCTTTATAGTGACATTTTGAAAATTATTCATTAAAAATATTCATTTACCTAAAACCTTTATATGAAAACAGGCAAAGTTACCAACTATTCTATTTCCAGGTTAAGAAATTGAGCATAACATTTGTTAACTTCAAATGATTCAGTGATACTTCCAGTAATTGTGGCTCAGTGGTAGAGCACCGACCTAAGAAGTGTGGAGCCCTAAATTCAATCCCCAGAACTCCTGCCAAAAAAAGAAAAATAAATTAAAAAGAAGGTTGGCAATTCTTACCACATGTTCTGTCAATTTAGATAGCACATTGCTATATCCAGTTTTCAAAACTGACTTTGCAGGTCATTTCATTTTATGGATAAATTACCAAAATCCAAAAGTATGACATCAGTGAGTTTGGCATATTCATCTTTAATGATTTGGATATTCACAGAACTGATCAAACAATACAGCATTTGAAATTAGTGTATCTTAAAAGAAAGCACATGACTCATTACATGAGGCATTTTATCACAATAAAAGTAAATATTGATTTTTATCTCATGCTAATTAGGGTTACAAAAAGAAAATCAAAATAGACAGTTTTATCTTCACATTGATGCAGATCTGCTAATGCTAAATGGTGCTTTTGCAAAAACTTCAAAATACATAAATCTGTTATACACATGTCAAGATGATACTATTTGTTCTAGTTCTACTGAAGGACTATGTAATTATATCCTAAGTATTTGTATTGTTCTGATGGCACCCTAGATAGGAAAAATATGAATGACATGTACAGTATTCTGCTTTACATATCATATAGTTTTTATTCCTGAATTCTAAAAAGAATATCTAATTGCAAAACAAAGTCTATAATAAACTTTTTTCCTAGATTTATTTTCTTAGACAAATTTTCTGATATAATCACCATAATTGTACCTAGTTATGTCTAATTGCATTTATAATGTTTACACACATTATAAAGTTTTAGATTCCTGACATTCCTCCAAATATAAAAATTTCAGAACATACTATATTATTCATCTTATATAAAAATTTTTAAAGCTCAAAGCATTTAGGTTTTTAATATTATTTTCCTTTTGGATGCAAATCTAGTAGTCTCATTTTTTACCTGTCCACAAAATTTCATTTTTTGTTTACTTTTTCTATTACTTTAATCTTCCATATTAATTTTTAGATAACATAATTTTATTTTAAAAAAACTTATTTAAAGTTCTTAAACATTTGGCAAAGAAATTTAATACATTTATATTTGCTGTTACAAAAAACATTTGATATTATCTCTGAAGTATTATTATTATAGCTAGTACTTTGAAAGGGAAAATATCTATTTATATTTATTTCATTTAAAAATGCTTAGTTTTACATCCAATATTATATGATTAATGTTTTAGAGATTTTTTTCAGATCAGGCTGATAGGAGAGTAACAATAATTAACTCATTATGTATTGTTATCTTCATAGTAGTTAATCAAAGTGCAAGATATAGGCATGGTATAAGGTCTATAAAATATTAGCACCAGTCTTTGTTTTCAATGAACTAAGAAAAATTAGCTGTATAAGTAATATATGTATATATTTTTTCTGCTTTCCGCTTCATTCCTTTCTCTTTTGCTCCATATGTTTTTCTTTTATTTGGAACAGTTTCTTCCCCATTCACAATATCAACTGTACATTTTGGATCTTGTTTACTCACTCAACTTCTCACATTAGTGAGACAATGCAATATTTATACATATTGGTCTGATTTATTTAATTTAGGACTATAGTCTCAAGTTGCATCCTTTTACCTGTAAAATTATGGCAGAGTAGTACTCATTATATAAAAAAAGGCACATCTTGTTTCTCTATTCCTCGATTGGTGGGCATTTCGATTGCTTCCAAGATTTGGCTGTTACAAATTGTGTTGATACAAACATGGGTACACATATATAGCTGTGGTGTGATGTTTTTAATTTTTCTGGGAAGATACAAAAAAAAGGGAACAGCTGGGTTGAACTGGATATCTAATTCTAGATTTTTAAAGAATATCCACACTGATTTACAAAGTGGTTTGAACAGTCTGCACTCCCACCAGGAGTGAAGAATTCTTTTCTTCCCACTGCCCCACCTGCACTTGTCATTGGTTGATTTCTTGATGATAGCAATTGTTTCTGAAGTGAGATGAAATCTCAGTGTTGTTCTAATTTGCATTCCTCAAATGGCCAATGATATTGAATGTGTTATCATATATTTATTCACCATTTGTATTTATTCATCTGTAAGGTTGTATTCATCTCAGATGCCCATTTTTGGATAGGGTCTTTGAATTTGGAGGGTAGATTTTTTTCAGTTTTTTTTATATTATTTAGATAAAGTCGTTTGCCTGAGGGACAACTGGCTAAAACTCTTTCCCACTCTGTGGGTTGTCTTTTCACTTTGTTTGTGATTTGTTTTGTTGTAAAAAAGCTTTTTAGTAGGGTGAAATTCCATTTGTTGATTCTTTGTACTATTTCTCATGGAGTCTGGAGTCTGTTCATAAAGTTTCTGCCTACACCTATGTCTTCAAGATTGCTATCTACTTTCTCTTCCAGTAGTTTTAGTGTTTCATTATTAAGATTTAAATCTTTGGTCCATTTTGACTTTAGTGCATGATGGATGATAGACATGGTTCTAGTTTTAGTCTTCAGCATGTGGAAAGTCAGTTTTTCCAGCACCATTTATAAAAGAGACTGTCTTTTTTCCCGTGCACCTTTTTAGCTCCTTTGTCAAAGATAAGATGGCTGAGTATGATTTGAGTTACATCTTCTATTCTGCCTCTTCTATTCTGTTCCAGTGATCATCAGGTCTGTGTTTTTTGCCAGTACCATGCTGATTTATCACAATAGCTTTGTAGTATAATTTCAGGTCAGGGATTGTGATGTTCCTTAATTTGTCTTTATTGTCCAGGATTGCCTTTGCTATTCTAGGTCTGTTATAGTTCTCAATGAATTTTAGGAATGTTTTCTCTAGTTCTGTGAGGGATGCTAATTGTATTTCACTTGGGATTACATTAAATCTATATAAAAGTTTTGGAAGTAAGGCCATTTTCACTATGTTCCTTCTTCATATCCATTAGCAGAGAACATCTTTTCATTTTCTGATATCCTCTTCAATCTCCATTTTCAAGGTACTATGATTTTACATATGTAGATATAGATAGATACAGATATAGATATTTCTTTTGTTAGATTGATTCCTATTTCATTTCTTTGAATGCTATTTTAATGGGTGTGGTTTCACTCATTTGTCTCTCATGAGTTCATTGCTTGTGTACCAGAATACTATTAATTTTTGAGTGTTGACTTTGTATCCCAATACATTGCTGACTTTGGTTATTACATCTGGAAGTCTTTTGTGGAGTTTTGGGGTATCTCCTTTGTAGAGTATCATGTCATCTGTAAATAATAATTTAACTTCTTCCTTTTCTATCCTTTTGCTTTTATTTCTTGCTCTCATTTAATTACTCTGGCTAATGTTTCCAGAACTATATTGAATAAGAGTGTGATAGTGGACATATTTTTCTTGTTCCTGATTTTAGACTGAAAGTTTCAGTTTTGCCCATTTAATATGATGTTGGCTGTTGGTTTGCAATAGATGATTTTTATCAGATTGAGATAAACACAATCTATTTCACTTTTCTGTAGGATTTTTTATCATGTTTGAGTGTTAGACTTTGTCAGAAGCATATTTTACATTTGATATGTGGTGTGTTTTGAAGAACATGCTATGTGAAGCTGACAACAATGTGGTGGAACACTGTGTAGACATCTACCAAGTCTATTTGTCCACAGCTTGATTTGATTCTGGTATTTCTTTGTTGATTTTGTCCAGTTAATCTATTTATTTGTCCCCCACTACAATTGTTTTAGTGCTTACTTGGTTTTACATTTCTGTTAATATTTGTTTTATGTAGTTGAATGCACAGGGGTTTAGTGCATGTAT